TAATATCGACTAAACAACAAATAAATACACGACTGATCGTGTTAAACAATCAACAGTTGTTGCATACCCAATTAGTGTATACTGAGCATGCGTGTTAAAGTCTGTCGATCGAATAGTTAGTCTCATTGTGGAAAATGTGTGTTACAGGTTGTGTTTGAATTCTTTCTAGACAAATAGTATGTGTGAAACTAGGTAAGTTGTGGTTTTATTTGTTTTACTACTTTGATGATCAGTAAAATGAGTAGGTTTTAATTTATTTTCTTATTTTTTCAGATGTGGTTAGTTAATTACCAGACATATTTTTATTAATTATGTCTTCCTTTAGTTTTTCAGCGAAGTGAATGTATTGTCAAGTATAATTTTTACATCATTAAACTTGTTGGTAACCAGTCGTCAATGCCCAGTGCATTTTTTTCTGGTGTGATTTTTATTAAGCGCATAGCTACACAATGGACTGTCTGTGCTCTGCCCACCACGGATATCGAAACCCGATTTTTAGCGTCGTGGACTTAGTGTTGAGCCGCTGGGGGAAATTTGCCTCTGGACAATATCTTAGTAATTATTAAGAAAGCCTAAATCCATTTGGGGATTATAATATGATAAGGCTTATAGTCGAAGGCTGGTATCTGTTCCAAGTATGTGGATTAAAATGAAACCCATTGTGTTATTGATACTGGAAAGCGATGAGGTCAAAGTTATGAAATAAATAAATTTCTTGCACTCAAAGCGTCTGGAACAACTACCATGTTGAGTTGGTGAATGTTTCTGTTTGTGTGCTTATACATATGTGTATTCAGTAAAACCGTAAATAAAACAGATATATACCCCTGGGATAATAGGCTAATAACTTAGTCTAATTATAAGTTTATTTCTAATTTAGAAAAAGTATACACAGAACACGCGTCACTAAAATCATCATGAAAAATACAAGTTTTATACGTTCTGTTAGCATTTAAAGTTGGTCCTAAAATTATTATTTATTTTTGTGTGGAAGTATTTCTAATGCCACCAGTGGCACAGCGGCATGTCTTCGGACTTATAGCGTTGACAACCGGGTTTCGTTACGCGTGGTGGGTACAGCACAGATAGTCCATTGTGTAGCTTTGTGTTTAACTTCAAACAAACAATTTATTTCTAAATTTACCCTTATTTGACAGTATATTCTTAAAAATTATGTATCCTATATGCATTTCTATAAACTTTTTCTAATGTCGGGAGGAATTTTTACTTATTTAGGTATTATACTGAAAAATTTAAAACAATCGCGCGTTTTAACTCCTCATAAATGTCCACTTAATTATTATCACCAGTATAAATTGTATAGGAATAAAATATAAGATTTTAAACACTGTTTATAAACTTTTATTTTTGTCAGGGTGTGAACGTCATTTTAAAGCTGGCGAAACATGATTACTTAACTTATTTGTCGTTATATTAGGCCTGTTATATTTTTTAACACTGCATTATACAACTAGTCTCTTAGTGATTTTCAAAAATTGGTATAGTGTATAATAATATTATTCCAACCATACTACGTTCGACGCATCCATTGGTTAAATAAGTAAACCAAAGTAGCAAAAAGCAATCCTAAGACTTCAATAAGTTGTGGAATTTCGACGGGGTATTTTGAGCAAAGCTACTCGAAGGCTATCTGCGTTAGCCGTCCTTAATTTGAAATGATAACCCAGAGGAAAGGCAGCTATTCAACAGTACCTACCGCCAACTTGTTGACTGCTCTAATAGAATAGTGGGATTTGACTGTCACTGTTATAACTCTTGTTTTTGGCGATAAAGGGGCGCGAACCATGGAATCTCGGATACACAGTCCGGCACGCTAACCACTAGGTTGTGCTCGGCCGCTTCAATAAGTAAAAAAAAACAAAAAAAACAGTGGCACAGCGGTATGTCTGCGGACTTGCAACGCTAGAAACCGGAAGAGCACAGATAACCTATTGTTTAGCTTTGTGATTAACTTCAAACAAGAACAGTAAGCAAAAAATTTAACTAAAAAAAAAATAAAAATCCTAAAACTTAAATAAGTAAACCATAAAAAGGAAACCTAAAATTTCAGCAAATAAACAGTTATACGAAATCCTAAAAGTTCAAGAACAAAACGAAAAGCATTTCTAAGCTTTATTAAACGAAAAACAAAACGTAAAACTTTAATGTGCATATAACAATAAGGAAACAATGATAATGAAGTCTAAAATTTTTATGAGCTAATAATGAAAAACTTTCACTTGCTATTATAATCATGTTTCGCCAGCCTGATAAAGTCATTTACACCATAACAACTGTTGTTGTAACAAATGACTTATATAAATAGTGTTCCGACCACTATTGTGTCTGTTGTGTTCCAGCCGACTTGTTGAGCTCTGGATTGAGCGAAACGCGCCGTCGATTTTAAAATTCCTCATCATTGTTTAAAATTCACTGTTTCCCGATCTTTTTTTGCCGTAGCGCCCCTTTCATCAAACAATGAGCGCTCACGTTCCCTTCTAATAAATTTGGCGCCAAAAGAGATATGCTCAATGATGTTTGTTTTTGTTTGCTTTTTTGAATTTCGCGCAAAGCTACACGAGGTCTATCTGCGCTAGCCGTCCCTAATTTAGCAGTATAAGACTAGAGGGAAGGTAGCTAGTCATCAACACCCACCGCCAACTCTTGGGCTATTCTTTTACCAACGAATAGTGGGATTGACCGTCACATTATAACACCCCACGGCTGAAAGGGCGAGCATGTTTGGTGGGACTGGGTATGGCTATCGTTTCGCCAATTCATACATCATGTACTTTTTGTAACTTGATAATTGTTCAAACTAAATGAGAGGTGTGTATAGCTAAATATATCTGTTGTAAACATTGTTTCAGCAATCAAGTATAGATACATGTATGTATCAAATTACATGACCCTAACGAAAAGCATGACGTCATAAAGGGGATGTTTGATGTTGCAAGTGAGATAGGAAGCTCCAATAGTCATACTTTACTTATGGGAGACATTATAGCTATCTGACTGGTAAGGGGTTGGCCAAAAGAATACTATCAAAACTGCTGATTTTTGAAAATTTTAAATATTTAGAAAGAATTAGCTACTGATGAAACTCAATTCATGTCTATAATTAGATCAAAGTTCAAAGCAAAACACGAATTAGGAATGAGCGAAATGATTGTCACACTCACTTTGAGGTTGCATCGTATCAAAAACCACCACGTGTTATAATGTTGACTAGCCTATTCCTACCTTGTTTCCTTACTTTTTGGTGCTCCCATTCCTACTTCCTAATTTTTATACACTTGTCTCATAGCTTTTTTGATACTAAGTCTCGAGAGTGACTGGGCTTTAGGCCTATTCTTCTCGTAGCTTTTCTTGGTGCCAATTTTAGAGAGTGACGGGGCTTTAGGCCTATCCTTCTCATAGCTTTCCTTACAGCTATCTCTCGACATTCCCTGGTATTTGCTGATATCTGTGCTGTAGTTTTTCTTCCACATAGCCAGGGTGGCAGCATTTTTTTTTTGTTTTTTCGGTTGGATTAATGACTAAGGCTTGTTTCGCATATTCATCAATACTGTTTGTAACCTTATCTCTATTCTTGCACAAATGCTCTCTTTGCTGGGTCAAATATTTTTCAAGATTTTCTCCATTTCTCTCGTTCTGTTTCCTTGAAAGGAATATTATATAAATTGCACTGTTTCAAGTACAACCTTAGATATCAATGGGTCACACTTAGTTTGAAAACAATGCAAAGGTAAATCATACAACTTATGGTTCTTGTTTTCAGTCCAGAGCGCTCTAGTGAGATCATGTCAGACTTTGGCAGTGGTAGCGTTCGTCCTTACGTCTTAGGCACCAATTACTATGATAGAATTGCTTTGTCCAACACAGAACTCTCGAGTCAGATGTATAGAACTGAAAACTTCGTTTTAAAAGGTTAGATCATAGCTAGAATCTAGACCTAAAGAATTTACATTGTCCACATTTTTTTTTTACTTAGCTGATACAGGTGCAGGCTGATTACATAGCGCTTCATTATAAGCAATCGTGCACCCGCACGTGATATGAGGGCGGATTGTTACTTCGCAACTCACAGAGCATGCTCGTAATCATATAATATAGCTACTAGTCTACTGTTAGCTCGTTTGTAATGTTGCAAAATAGTTATTGTTAATACCAAAGTTATAAGTAATACTAAGAAAAACGCCTTTAGCAAAGGTAGCGTAATTGAATCATGTGCATTTAGATCTGCATAAGGTAACGGCAAAAGAGAGCTATGATTTCCAACAACGTTAGTAAGTCAGAATGAAAAAAATGTAGTTTTGTGAAATTTTTGTTTTTACTCTACTTTCTCAAGTGCTTGTTACTCTGCAGTTGCCCCCAATGGCACAGCAGTATGTCTGCGGAGTTACAACGCTAGAATCCGGGTTTCGATCCCCGTGGTGGGCAGAGCACCATTAGCCCATTGTGTAGCTTTGTGCTTAATTACAAACAAACAAGTTACAGCTTTTATAGATAAGGAAGATTATTTTTTTAGAACAGGTAACTGTTCTATAAAATGATTTTCCTTACTGTAAAAGCTGTAACGTGTAATAAAATGATATTTAATCAGTAAGTAAACCCAAAACGAAGCTTTTAAAAGATTGTCTTGCCTGAACTTTTGGAACTACTCAACAACAGTTTAACCTCACTATGTTTGTACTACAGTGTGCAACAAAATATTGTAATAAAACTTATTAAAACTTATCACACTGTAGTACAAGTTAACAAAATATTGTAAGAACTTGTACTACAGTGTGATAAGTTTTATTACAATATTCTGGTTAACTTGTTTATTTTTTGATAGAAGTAACTTTTGTTTTGTTTGCTTGTTTCACGTGAAACCGTCATGGTAACTTACTGTATTTTGTTCTAATACTACAGGTCTTTCTTTTGGTCTAAAAACTGGAGCAGTTATATGATGTTGTTAATCATTACCAAAATTAAACAACATTCGTATATTATAGGATGATTGTTTTGACGATTGATTTGTCAATGAAACATAAAAGCTGAAGTCGATCTGCATGATGTTTCCAGCCTATTCCGATATTCTTTCCTAGGGTTTGGACCACACCTATGTAAGGAGATAAGGAAAACAGTTTGATAGTTTGAATCAGCAGCCTCATGTCAAAACTAGTTAACTGGAAACGAAGAAGGTAAGAACTAGAATAGAGAAGGAAAGGTAAAAATAAGAAATATAAAACTTGAAAAATAAAATAGTTTTGGTTTAAAGTCACTAGAAATATTTATTTCAAATACAAACACACGTGACAAAATATCTAGCCGACCTTGAAGACTTGATTGTTAATACTTTTTACAGGTTACAAGTAGTAGCCAGTTTAAAGAAATTTTGATAGTGATAGTTTAATCCTTAGATAGTTGTAGTATCTCAACACGAACACAAACATATTGTTACGACAGTGGAAGTCACGTGACCCTAGTAATACGTCATGAGATTCTAGAAAGATCATGTCCATGTGAAGCCTCGAGTGTTCTCCAGACGCCCTCTATTTCGTATATATATAAGACCGACGAGAAGTGACGGCAGATATATGAATAATTGCAGAATGAAGAGATAGAGAAAGATAATCGAGTCAAGTCGTAAGTTAAGGGCGTGAATCGTTCGTTGTGAATTATAGCGTGTGTTTAAGTTAAAGTGACTGTGGAAATTAAGTGTATAGCAAAGTTGAATTGAGAAAGAATAAACTAGTTTTATTTAAGAAAAGACTTGTATCGCTGAAGTTTCTCGGGAAGAATTTTTACAGGAAATTATCAAACGAACGAAGAATTAACAATATTTTTTTCTTTCTTTGCTTAATTTCTTCACCATGCGTGTAAAACTTGCTGCGTTAGATTTAGGATCAAGCAAGTTATCGCTGACTCATTATTTGATCTAATTTAACATTCCATTGCACCTTCTGCATGTTAAAAAATCTATATAAGTCAAATTAACAAAAGTCCATCAACGAAAAATTTTCTGTCAACTCATGAAGTGTTAAATAATTTAAAAATTGTAATTGTAAATAGATCATGAAGTGTTATAGAAGTTTCGTCCAAATGCAATTTCTGTTAGCGTTCATGTTGTGAAAATAAAATTTGCTTATCTCACCATTTACTCACAGGTGCCCATGCCTTCTCAGAGGTTCAGAGAGGTCCAGGTCACTTCTATCTTTTGAGGCACCTGGTTATAATAAAAATACAAAATAATGGCACATGAAAAAAAAAAGACAATCATTAGCCCAAAAGAAAAGTGAAACATAATTTGAATATTTAATTTGTATGTATAATTTACAGCTTTAAGCTGAGTGTGTGTGTTTTACATTTTGGTCTGATTGGGAGACACATAAAAACAAGTCGCGAAACTTAACCAATGAAAATAAGGAATAACAAGGGTTTAAACTTAAGACCTCCTTTGAGCTTGAGGCCCGGGCCAAATGGCTCACTTGGTCTCCCTGTCTCACCAAACATGCTCGCCCTTTCAGCCGTGGGGGCGTTAGAATGTGACGGTCAATCCCACTATTCGTTGGTAAAAGAGTAGCCCAAGAGTTGGCGATGGGTGGTGATAACTAGCTGCCTTCCATCTAGTCTTACACTGCTAAATTAGAGATGGCTAGCGCAGTTAGCCCTCGTGTAGCTTTGCGCGAAATTCAAAAAACAAACTATCCTGGTCCCCCCTCTAATTGGCCCTACAGGCGCCATTTGGAAGAAAGCAGGGGCATTTACCCTCTCCTGTGTTTCATACCACTTTTTTAATTTTAGGAATAGTACACACACCTGAAATGTGTAGTTTGTGCATCCGTTTTAAATGAGCAGTTTCGTGACATGTGCCTACAGTCCTGTAATATTCTTCACTTTACGGCGCTCTGTCATAGTGGCAAGTTTTCGTGCGCGAGTCCGACTCAATGAGCAGTATAAGGTGTACAATAGAGTAATATTAAAAGTTGATGTTGGTTCTGTTTTTTTTTATATGGACTTATTTCTTTTTAAATATTTTTATAGGTGACGAGGAAGAATATTTTGTACGTTTGAATGAAAACAGGAGAATACAAACTGAAAATCATCCCTAACCGAAACTTGTGCATTGAAATAAAAACAAAAATATATCCAAACAGTCCTGGTTACATTTTTCTGTAAAGCAGGGTAGGATCAAGGTTCAAAGTTGAGAGGAGGCTGATGTGAATACCAATAGATGTATTAAACATTTAGATTACCATCGAACTTCCTGTAAATTTAATAGCTTTTCTGCCTTTGATAAAAACTCTGATATGAGGCAGCAATGCTATGCAACCGTGATTTTAAATTAAAATAGCTAACATTGAAGTGTTATGGCAGCAGAAGTCACGTGACGCTGGTGAAACGTGATGAATTTCTCGAATGATCATGAATAATCGGGGAGGACCGAGTGTATTCGAAACGCCCCCTTCATTAGTATATAAGCCTGGTAGAGAAAGCCTGCGGGAATGAATGAAGAGAGTTCCCGGTAATTTACGATTCTGTTTCGAGCTAGTGTGTGTGTTTTCCACTCATAGAGAGCAAAGTTATCGAGATTGTGAATCGCTGTGATTTAT